TGCTTGCTGTATCATCTGTAGTCCTTATTGCAGTACCTATCAGATGTAAAACCTTGAAAACCAATGTTGTATTTAATTTTTCAGAAATCTTTAGCATAATTTGGCCATATGACAGGTATTGAGTGTTATCTCTCTCCTCTATAAAAAGTAGCCCTGAGCATTTCTAATGCAGTCAACAGTGGGTACTTTGGCATCCCTGAAAAGGGCTTAATTTTTGGCTAGCTGTTTAGAAAGCACAGGATCTTTACCACTAAAGGAAATATCTCAAGATATATAGTAAGATCTTGCAAATTTGAATTATAGATCACATCTGTAAGATTGTTCTCTCAGTATTAAGAATTTAATTTAGTGTTGAATTTAAAAAGTTGGTAAATTACTGTATGACTGAATCTTTTGTTCATGTGTATGTTTAGTATAGGTCATTGATACGTGCACAGTATTTGGCAGAGGAAAAAAACATGGTTTGTGTTTTCAAATAAATGACAAGAAATTGTTCTAGCTTGAATTTGTATCAGAACTTTTCACAACTAAAACTGAGACACTTACCAAGACTGGCTCTTCTCCATTAAGTGAGATAGTGCATGTAAAGCATCTATCACAAGGTTTTTGGCATATGGCAAATTCTCAGAAATTATTTTATTGTAAGGCTAATAGTCTGATCTGTCAGCTAAAGATAACGTCTCTTGAATTTCTATAATACCTTGAGCCTTTTGTCTTTTTAGCTGGACATAATACATATACTTATGCCTCCTGTATACTCAGTATAACTCGTGCTAAGGAAATTGAGACTCTTGTGAAGTAGTAACTTGTTGTCCAGGATGACACACATTTGGTGATTCAACCCTGATCTCAGCTTGCCTTTAAAACCCTTACTATCCCATTTAAGGGGTAGGGTGGGGAGAAGCGGGCAGGGGACAGGGTATACCTTTTGTCTGTATTTTAGTATGTGCCATGTGCTGTTGTATACCTGTATTCTTTCTTTGCTAGGTTCTAAGCTTCTTGAGGACAGGGATTATTTCTCATTTGCGAGGTTTTAAGGGTTCTACATATTACTCTACTGTGTTCACTTACTGATTATTGAGTGAATGAACACAAGTGAATATTAGGTAATTTTCTTAGAAAATTATGAAACTACAAGCAGTTTTAGAAAAGAAAGATAACATTATATTGCTATCTCTAGAGCAAGCCTGGATTATTTCTAGCCTCCAAGAAGCTATATTTACTTATCATTTGTATTCTGTTAACTTCCCAAAAGAATTTGTGTCTGGAGCATTGGGTCTAACAGATACATGTACTTTTTTGGCCCTCTTGACCATCAGGACTTAACATTTATTTTAAGCATGGTAATAGGGAAAAGATCTTGAATGCTGGAACATGATGATGAGGATATGGGCTATCATAGCTTTGGAGAGGAAAGGATATTGAAGGGAAGAAACTATTTCTTGAGCAAATGAAGTATATTTTCACGTGTTCTCTCATTTACTATCATTTTAACAAGAAACCTATATAAAGACAAGTATGTATTTTCTTCATATTCACAAATGATGATATTAAAGGTTAAATCAAAGAAAATGCTTAAAATTGCAGTGATTAAATATAGAAGTTTGGCCTTAATCTCAGATTTGTGCAATTCCAAAGCCCATGGTCTTTTCATATTCCTTTTGTTTGTTTGTTTTTGTTTTTGTTTTTTGGTAGTTGGTAGCCTGCCTTTCTAGTTTCTAAACTTAAGGAGTTCCAAGTCATTTTAAGTCATGATTTTTACATTTTGTGGCTATAAATAAAATTTATATAACTAAGTGAAAATAGGATTTAAATGGTTTCATTTTAGACGTCAAATGTTAAAACTTATATATGCTTACCTTGGACATAGGTTCTTTTGCAGTTTAGAATCAGTTTAACGAATATGTAAAAGCTTCTCAAATGGAGTTGAAGTCTGTTTTTAAGCATTTCTTCTTCTAAACTTTGAAACTTCTGGAGGGCAAATTTCTTTCGCATGTCCTTGTTCCTGAGGTCTCTAGCCCAGTGCTTATGCTTAATAAACGTTTATGGAATTATGAGGAATTAATAAATTGAAGATTGGCTTACATGGATAATTTTATTTTCTTGAAATCAAGAGTTAATTAAATAAGATCCTGCTCCCCTGGTATATGGCCCCCCTCTATTTTAGTTTCCTGATTGTCAGCCATGTGTCTTCATTCTGGCTTATCACTAACCCTCCCAACACACACACACATACACACACACACACACACACTATTTGAATGCGTTTTAAAAAAGGACCTGAGATAGGAGTTTGGAGAAAGTATAATAATAGTTATGCAGACATGGCATTACCTACAAGGAATCCATATAAGAAATGATTATATCATTTTTCTGATACTGGTTAATTGTCACAAAATTTGAAGGACTTTATTGGGTAGTCTAATTTAAAATACAGATTGTATGTTATATATGAAATTAACTTTAGTTGGGCCTGGAGGGGGAGCACCTCATAATTTTCTGGAGAATTTTAAATGAAGGTACAATGAGAGGCCCATGTAATTGCTATTTTGTAGATATACCATATATTTTAAGGCTCCATGATCAGAGAAGATAATACTTTCATAAAAACTCCGATTGGCAGTCACATTGGATTTGAAGTATTAGTTTTCAATTAGTCGCTTTTCATGTGAGCAGACCTACATAATATGCTTTCATTTAGGGATTAGCTATTTTAAATATGGTTAATAATTTTCCAGAACCAGGCCTTGTTGACCAGCTAATGGCAGAATAAGAGGACAGATTAGTGTTGCTGATGGGTAGGAGAGACACAGCCACCAAAATGTACTCTTTTTTCCTGCTACCTAAGAATTCTGTTGACTTTACTCTTGTGATAGGAGGTTTATTGTTTCATGGTATCAGGCAGGCATTTGTGGGGAATTATTGATGACTTATGGAATCCCAGTAGTCATGAGAGCTATATAAAACTCAAGAGTCAGTGAAAAATTGAGAAATATGTATAGACCAGAAAGAACAGCTACAGTTAAAGCCTTTACATAAGTTGATGTTGCAAAGAAGGAAGTAAAATTGGCACAGGTTGGATGGTCTGACCACCTTTGGCTTGCTGATCATTTCAAAGCCTGTGAAATGGAAACAGTGTTCCCACTGTTGATCACTGATTGAGGGATTCTGACTTTATATTTGCTTAAAAGGAAAGATTGTTTCATCTTTTGCTTAGGGGGCAGTTTCAACAGTGTTTGCAGATAGTCTCAAAGGAATTGCATTGAATTTTCTAGTAGATTTTTAGATAGTTTTTAACCACTTAATTTCTCAATTTTTAGCAGTTAGTAGATGAATTTAAATGACTCAGTACAGTCCTTTACATGAGTAAAATGGATGTATTATATATAAGTGATCATGATGGAGTTTCCTGAAGGGATTAAATGAAGTTTTTGGCAGATGTAAGCCTTCTGAGCTGCCAGTTAAAGAGCTGGGAAACTGGAATTGAAGCTGCAAGATTTTTCAGTTGGTATGACTTACTAGAAAAATGAGGCTGACCACAAGAAATCAGAAAAAGTGAATTTGGCTAGAGAAGATAGTATGAACTAAGAAGTATCATGAGAATTGACAAGATGATGATATTGGAAAGTAAAATTAAACAAAGTTTTATATTCCTAATGTGGATATGACCCCAAGTCCAAAGTAACCTTTCGCTGCGCACTGCCTTCCCCTTTCCCACCCCACACTTAGAGATAATAAGAGGCAACATTAAAGTGGCAAAACAGGACAGAAGAAAGAAAAGCAAAACAAAAATAAAGAGACCTGATTTTGGTATTAGCTGTCTGACTTTAACAAGTTGCTTGAGACCCAGCAGATGAAATTTGGATTAATTAGGAATTTAATCAACTAAAAGACAGTTTTTGTTTTGATTTTTCTGTCATAAATCTTTGGGAAACCTACAAATTGGGTTTTAGAATATTAATGGTTTCTTTATCCAACTGCATCCCTGATAATTTTGAACAAATACAGATAAAGTCCACTATAGAAATTTTGAATACTTGTGTTGTTTTCATGAGTATAGCTCTGCTGTAATAAGTAATCTGATGGAGGTCTATTCTGTAAGAACTGGAAATAAAGCAATTGGAACTAGTATATTGATTTACTGACTTACTGTGTTGTATATGAGGAGAATAGGCTAGTAAAAGAAGAAGTAGGATCCAGAAAGAAGAGGTTAGAATACAGATACCTGGGCCCCACTCTTCAAACCTCTGAACCTAAATATATTTCTGGAGATGTGACTCAGAAGTGCTTATTTTAAAAGAAAAAAAAAATACTAGTGATTATGATTAAAAACCAAATTTGAGATTCACAGGCTTAATTCTACTCATGAACACCTCTAAGTGCTATCATTTTATTTCAGGAATGTTAGGAAAGCTGAGGTAGCCTTTTTTAAGCCGTGGCTGGCTGTCGTTTGTAAAGCCTCTTAATCCCAGAACAGTAGAGCCATTAGATTATAGAATTACAGGAGACATTAGAGATTATCTAATATAGAGGCCAGCAAACTGTGGTCCATGAAACCAAATTTAGTTCTTTACCTGTGTTTGCAAGTAAAGTTTTATTGGAACTCAGCCACACTCATTCATTTGCATCATCTATGGCTTTCCCTGGACCTTGACTGAAAAAGTTCATTAACTTTGGTCAGAGTGCAAATACAGTTTAGTTCTCCTTTTTCTTGCTTCTAATCCATTATTTTTTGTATGTTTGTTTGAGGGAGATACCTGGGTGAGATAAAAAAATTTCATTTGTAGTACAGAATTTTATTTATAGATTTTCTTTATTACAAAACAATTACTAGGATAATAAAGAGTCCAAGTACTTTAGATAACATGACTGTACAAAAACCTTTTTAATTTGGGTCAGGGGTAGAACTTTTTGTAGTATAATCTGTTTCCTGAGTACAAATCTTTGGTTTGATCTGCCAAACCATTTGATAACAAGATTCTTTTTTGTTGCCTGTGCAGCCGAATGGACGGACCATTGAAGTGGCTGAGGAGGAAGTTGTCCGAACTCCTCGAAGTGTAACAGCAAAGCAGTCATTAGAGACAGAAAAGAAAAATGAAAAGGTAAGTTTGGGAGCATATAAAATTAAATGCAAAGCTCTTAATAAAGAGAGCGACATATACAAATGATGCTTCTCTGTTTCACAAAATTGTACATATACCCCCTATTTAAGGAAAATTGAAAACCTCAAGTAATCATAGCAGACGGATGGGTGGTGAAGATTCCAGATGTGTAACATACCTCTTATTTGAAAACAGAATTGTATTACCTTTCTTAATAGTACATTTCTGACATAGAAAGCTTAGCAAAATTGTCCTATGGTATTGTGTTAAAATAAATTTCTGTCATGATGAAGACATAATCATCTACTTATAGACATAGTTTAAGTTTGTTTTGTTTTGTTTTTAACAAAAGAAAATATACTCAGGTCATTATCAAAAAGGTTTGGCTATGCACTTATAAATTTTTAAATTTTTAAATAAGCCCATTTAACTTATCCCAAGCTAACACGAACTTTTAATCATTTTTCAGTTGCCAATGTTAGAACTGACCCATTTTTGTTTGATTTAATTTGTAAAGTAGGCAGATGTACAAGAAGCTGTTAACAGTGTTTCCACCTGTTGTAGGAGAGGGACTTTTTATTTAACATTTTTTAGTACATTGAATACTCTGCCCCCAACTCTCCCCCCCATGCCTCTGCGTGCATAACTTCTTTTTACAAAAACAAACCAAAAACAAGCACAGATAGGTAAAGGATTTCTAGGAACCAGAGTGCAGCAGCTCCAGCTCTGTAGAATAGTGGTATAAAATAGTTGCTCCAGTTTCTTAATGCTTGCAGATTCAAAATATCTGAAGAAGTGGTGAGATCAATTCTCCCCCTGTAACCCAGGGAAATTGGCAGAAAAATAAATAGTAAGTAACTTGTATTAACAAGTTAGCATACAATTTAAGGATTGTGAATTTATACCATGAATAGTTTATATGCTTAATATAGATGTATACTTTTCCCATCTTGTTTCTGGGCTTTCTCTGTATTCGTGAGCATTTTATACTTAGTCCTGCTTCCACTCTGAATTCTTCTGAAAAGAAGAATTGTATAGCTGGAATAATTAACAAACTCCATTTATCTCTGATTGATTAATCATATATAGTGTATGTATCAGGATGTAAAACCACAGTTTGAAGTTTGCAATTATTCTGAAATTTCTTATGAAAGGAAATAATTATAATAATTGACATTTGTACTCTATAATATGGCAGACATTGTGCAAGATGAGATATGAGTATATATATAAATATATTTACTATAGCTAGTGGGGACAACTTACTGAGCACCTACTAGGTATACCTTTAAGGCTTTATAGAATATTTATTCACGTTTCTTTATCCTCACTTCAAAATCTGCCTTTTACTTATCTGTATCATTTCTGATCCTTTCAAATACTGCCAGGCAGACAGTAATAGCCCCATTTTACAGATAAGGGCTCTGAGGCATAGACAGATTTTGTGTTTTCACTAATTTCATACAGTTTCTGAACTGGGATTTGAACCCTGCTCATTGTGATGCCAAAGCCCAGGTGTTGTTAATCACTTAACAGTCCCTCCTCCTTTAAGTTGCTGTTGCTTGTTCAATACAAAGCTTCTACTTTCGGTTTATTGTCTGTTTGATTTTACTTTTTGCAAAGAATAAATGCTTCAGCTGATGGCTAGTGTTTCTTTTTGCCATCTTGCATCTTGAATTTATGCTTTTTAACTTGGTTCAATCCAGGTGACTCTCTGATTTCAGTTAATTTTTTATACTATTGCACTGTGTTTTTGTGTTTTAAATAAGTGACATTTTTAGACTTCTTTTCTTTCTTTTGTAAACAAACATATCTTAGATCTACTTATGCACCTTAACTTATTTTCTTGTACGTTTGTTTTCCTCTCAGAGCCACATCTTAGACACTTTGAGAATTGCAGTTTGCCCATACAGTAATTGCACTCTAAGCTGTGATAGTGAATACCTTGCCCTATCACTTGAGTAGGCCTCATAGATAAAACTTTGTCTAAAAACTGGATGTGACAAGAGTTATAAATCTATAAATTTTTTTTTATTTTGTTTTGTTTTGGATATGACACAATCAGACATTATTCAGCTGAAACAAAAGAACATATTCAGACATACTCATGGGAAAGCCCTAGACAAGTTTGACTGGTCAAGGCGGGGTTGAGATATGATTAAAAGCTTAGATATAGAGTAGGTGTATTAGGATGTAAAACCTGGCGCAACACTTATGATTGATAGTTAAGTCTTGCATCTATGATTGTAAGGGTCTGAATTAAGATAAAAGTATAAAGGTTGTTAGTAGGAGAAACAACAGAAACAAATGTATAAAATTTGGTCACTATCACATTAGTCAGATGATTTCAGTGATGTCTACCGAAATACTGTTATCATTTATTTTATGTGTTAGTATGCTCTTAGCATTTTTATGATGCTACACAGTATACAGAATACTCCCACATCTCTTAATCATGATTAACAGCTCGGAGAGGGGTGAATACACATGTGCACACACACACAGACATTTTATAATAGCTCATTAAAAAGAGTTTAGTGACTTACCCAAGAACATATAGCTAGTAAATAATGCTCCCTCAGTTTCCCTGAGACAGCAGTTCTAAAGTGTGGTCTATGGACCCCTGAGGAGGGGTTGCAGAAAACAAAACTATTTTTATAATAACTAAGATATTATTTGCCCTTTTCACTGTGTTGACATTTGCACTAATGTTACAAAAGCAATAGTAGATAAAACTGCTGACTCAACAGAAATCAAGGAAGTCACATCAAACTACTAGTAATGGTATTGTTTATTACAGTCCACTCATCATAATAATAAAGAAATGAACGCTAGTTTCCTTTAAGAATATCCTTGATGAAGCAGTAAAAATAATTGTTAATTTTATTAAATCTTTACCTTTGAATACATGCTTTTTAATTATTCTCTATACTGAAATAGGAATTATGTATAAAGTATGCTACATAACCAAAGAAAAGTGGTTGTCTTGTGGAAAACACCTGCACAATTGAATTGCAAGCTGGATTAGCCACTTATTTTATGTAACTTCATTTTTATTTGAAAGATCAACTGATAGGCCATGGTTATTTAGACTTCGGTATTTGCAGACATTTTCTCAAAATAATCAAGATGATCCTGTCACTTCATGGATATTCAGAATTTGGAAAATTTGTATCTGCCACCATGAGCTTGATAACATCCCAGGGCTTAAAGAATTTCTGATGAAATCAGTTGTGATGTTAACATGTGATTTTTTTAAAAATAAATTGTATATAATGGAATGTTTTAACATTTTGGAAGATGTGTATGATTCAGTGAACCAATATTTTCCAAAAGACTAATGCTTGCATATTACAAAATCAAGCAAGTGTAAAAGATTCATTCAAAGTACATTGTAGACCAGTGGATTTTAATGTAAAAGAATATGGAAAGTTCATTAATGCTGTTTCAGATTCCCATTGTAACAATTTTTAATAAACTACCAACTCACAAGTTTGAGTGTAATAGTTTTTTTCTTCCTCAACCTAAAACCCTTCGTAACTTTCTATTGCTTTTACTCCATAATCTTGACCATAACTAAAGCCCCTGCCTGTGGCACAAATCTCTTTTCCTAATCTTACCCTCTTTAAGCTCTAGACACGTTGGTTTTCTTTCTTTTTAGTTAAAACAGCTTTATTTTGAAATATTTTATGGTTATAAAATTTGCTTCAAGTGTATGATTTTAGTCTATTTGTGGAGTTGTATAACCATCACCACAATCTAATTTTTTAGCATTTTTCTCTTCCCAGGAAGAAATCTTGTGCCCATTAGCTAGCATTCACTCCCCTTTATTCCCACTGCTCTCCTTACCTCAGCCCTTGGCAACGACTAATCGTTTGTGTGATATCAAATATCACAATTATCTGAAAAAACTATTAAAAATACTCCTTTTGTTTCCAGTTACATATCTATGTATACGTAGCCAGATTTTCTTTATGTGCTTCCATAAAATATCAGTAAATTGAATGCAAAAGCAGATAGGTGAATCCAGCTGTCTTTTATGAAGCCACACATCAAAGATATTTGCAGATGTAAAATATGCCACCCTTCTCACTAAAATGTTTTTGTTTTGGAAAATATTTTTATGTAGATATAATTATACAATAATTAGTTTATTGTTTTGAAATTAATATAAATTTAAATAATATCGTAGTTTAAATTTTTAATATGATAGATACCAGGTATAACCCACATAAACAAAGGCTCTTTGACATCCTCAGTGTGTTTTAAGAGTCTAAAGGAATAGCCTATGACCAAGAAATTTGAGAACCAGTGCTCTAGCAGTGATCAGTGTTTAGAAGACTAAAGACAGAATTATTCTGAGGCAGCACTGATTTTTAAACAAGCATAAGCTATAGCAGTTCTTAGCAAAATAGAGACTGCCTTCATGCCCAGAGAGTTCACATGTACTTGTGTTTTACCTTCCTTAATACATTTTAGAAACTATAGTTTTAAAACCAGCAAACCATGATCTGCTGGTCATTCTGGCTCTATATCTGAAAGTTTTGTTGGAACACAGACACATATTTTTATTGTCTATGGCTGCTTTGTACTATAACAGCAAAGTTGAGTGCTTGAGACAGAGGCCTTATAGTCTGCAAAGCCTAAAATATTTACATATGACCTCTTTTTCCTGAACTCCTATTTCAAACTCCTAATATAGTCCTTCAGATTCATTAAAATGTTTCGTTACATGGAGTGCCTTGGTGTGGTCTGATTCTCTAGGTCTTGAACTCTGGACCTTTTAGGCTCCCTTGTGCCACAGAGTCTATAGTGTCATGATTTCTTGGGTTTTGAAGGTTCCCTTTTAAGGTAAACAAAGTAGTTTTATATAAAAGAAGGAATATCTTTCCAGAGAATCCTCATTTCTGCTCCTAGACCTTTGTGTCTAAACTCCTAATAGCAGAACTGAGACCAGAACCAGGTCTTCTGCTCTAGACCATCATTTTTCCATGATACTA